TCCAGCACCAGTAGCACCTCCAGCAGCTCCAACAGCACCCACAGCACCAGCAGCACCAGCAGCACCAACAGCACCTTGACAGCGCCGAGCGTACCACTCACGATGCCGCGGCGGAGAGAGGAGCTCCCGCTGCGACGGGACACCCGGAGAACCTCCAGACGCAGTACGCTCCGGCGCAGCACCCCCAGGCTCAGCACCCCCAGGCTCAGCACCCCCAGTCTCAGCACCCCCAGACACAGAAACCCCAGGCTCAGCACCTCAGTCCTCGCACCCTCAGGCACAGTACCCCCAGTCTCAGCACCCCCAGTCCCCGCACCCGTAGGCTCAGCACCCCTAGCAGTACCTGAGTCGACAGCTACCTCGACCGGCTCGGCAGGGTCTACCTGGGACACACCGGAGGGGGCAGGACCCTGAGGGGGGAGGGGGTCTACCGGAGGAGTACCCGGCGCTAGGAAGAGTGGTGGGGTGGGGGAGAGAGGCAGCGTGGTAGGGAAAGAGACGGTAGTAAGACACCGACTCGTCAAACGTGACGTCCTGAGAGGACAGAACACGACGCGAGGTGGGGTGGTAGAACTGCCACCCGGGTGCGTCAGGGGGGAAGCCAAGGAAGACGTTGGGAACGGCACGGGAGGACAGCTTGTCCGCTGACGTATCGCGGACAAAAGCTCGAGATCCCCACACACGGAACACAAACGCATCGCCAACCTTCCCCGTCCACCGCAGAGTAGGTGTGGTCTCCGGCAAGGAGACACGAGGCTGAAGGTTGATCTGATGCGCAGCGTACTGAACCGCGAACGGCCACAGAAAATGGGGAGCAGCCGCATGGATCATGGACGTACGAGCGACGTCCATGACCATGCCAATGCGGCGCTCAGCAATCCCATTTTGCTGTGGGGAGGCCGGAAGCGAGAACATCTGGCGGATGCCCTCCGCACAACAGAAAGCCCTCAGGAGGTCGGAGGAAAACTCACCACCTCTGTCTGAGTGCAGACGCAGAACAGGAAGGTCCGAGCCGAAACTCTCGCTGAGCTGACGACGGGCACCGCGGATCCAGGCGATCAACACCTCAGTGACCTCACCCTTGCTGCGCAAGGGGAAGACTGTGGTGTAACGCGAGTAGTCGTCAACGACCAGCAGGAAGTAACGCTCGTGACCCTATCCACGGACGCGGGCTGGGCCCCACACGTCCATGTGAAGAGTCTGCAGGGGAACCTCTGTCGGAGGAAACGTGGAGGAGTGAGGAGCGGCGCGCTGCCGGCCCTCGACACACGGAACACAGGTGGGGGCAGGCCCTGGAGGAAGGGGAGGGAGGGACCGGTGGAGACCCGAGACAAGGGTATGGGAGGCCATACCTCGAAGACGAGGCAGGGAGGGGTGACCAAGGCGGTGGTGCCAAAGGAGAGTCTCGTGCGACAGAGGACGACACGAGCAGGAGGCAGATGCAGGACTAGACCTAGACGCGGCAGCAAACACCTGACCGGACGCGGCTACCTGACCAGACGCAGTGACCGGAGGAGACGCAGTAGCCAGTGTGTACAGGCTCGACCCAGGCCGATGGGTGAACGTGGACAGGTGGCGGCCCGTCCGAGAGCAAGTGCAGTGGGTCACGCGCTGACCTCCAGGGGTGAACTAGTCAACCCACGCGTCCTGGAGGTCAGCTCCACTCACCAAGTTCGTAGAGAACGAGGGGAGGTGGAGTCCCGACAGCAAGCCCGACGGGGCCGCAGGACACGGTAGAACCGTGGAGGAGTGCGCAAGGACTGGCCCCCCAGAGGGGTCAGCCAGGGAGTCTGCGACAGGCCGACGGAGCGGCGTGAGTGTGGTGCTGTCGCGGAAGAAAGAGCGCGAAGCACCAGAGTCAAGTGTGAAAGTGTGCAAGGCCTCAGTAGGTGTTGTACCAGAGAGAGCAGACTCACCAGTACCTGGAGCAGCAGACTCACCAGTACCTGGAGCAGCAGACGCACTAGCACCTAGAGCAGCAGCCTCAATGCCCGGGTCGGGCGGGACACTCAGGTAACAGTCACCCTCAGCACTATCAGTCACAACATATATGGCAGCAAGGATAGCATCGAAATCAAGATCAAAGATAGCAACATTCTGCCTAAGCAGATCAGCCCAACGAGGGAGCTCAACATCGTCAGGAAACTGGGCGCGCCAGGCGTCAGTCAGATGACCGAAGTAGCGCTGTGCAGTGTGTGGCAGACCGCACGTCTCCCCACAACGCGAGCCGGTGCGAAGAACGTAAGTGCAGGGACCAGCACCCCCAGACCTCCCACGCCCAGCGTACCACTCACGAAGCTGCTGGAACGACGGGGTCTCACGGGAACGCGGCTGCTGCTGGCGCTGGCTGCCACCAAGGCCTCCACGGTGCGAGATTGCACCTCGACCAGTACCACCGCCACCGCCACCTCCACCACCGCTGCCGTTGCCTCCACCACCGCTGCCGCTGCCTCCACCACCGCCTTCGCTGCCTCCACCACCACCACCGCCGCCACTGAAGCCCCCACTCCCGGTACCACCCCCACCTCCACCGCCACCCCCTCCGCCTCCTCCACCGCCACCGCCGCCGCCCCCGCCATCCCCTCCACCACCCTTGTGCCCCTTGCCCTTACTGGTGTGGCGCCTCCCACTGGGAGCAAACGCAGCCCCGACCTCCTCAGTGCCAACGAGGTCGACAGCAGCAGCAGAAGCAACAGAGGGGAGAAGGGGGACAGGGGAACACCCCTCAAAGAAAGGGGTGCGGCGGTCGCCGTGAGAAGAACCTACAGCTAAGATACTCTTCTCAGCTGCAGTAAGGCGCTCCTCTAGCAGGTCGACAGTGAGCTCGGTGGGGTGAAGGGAGAGAAAGTGGTCCCTGACTGAAGCAAGGGAGTCAGGGAGGCGGGTGACTAGGTAGTAAAGGGCGATGTACATGGGGGGGGGGTTCTTGGCACAGATCTCAGTGGGAAGGGCAGCGCGGAAGCGGGCATCACTAGTGCGGAGGTGAATAATGAGGTCAGCAACTGTGGTAAAGGCTGCAAGGTCAGGGAAAAGGTAAGGCAGCATGAGGCGGCTGAGGGCAGCAGTGGCAGGGGAGGAGTAGCGCGCAACTACAGCATCGTACAAAGACTGAGCAGTCTTGTACTGGCCAAAGTGCGCTCGCTCAGCAGGAGGGAGGTGACTACGAACAGCGAGGCGAGCAACAGCGTCTAGAGTGGTCCACTGCGAGCGAATCGTGCTGTCAGCAGTGGCAGCAGGTGCAGTAGAGACACCGGACGTGTGATCGAAAAGGGATACCCCATCCCTAGAGTCACACTGAAGAAAGAGCTGCAGGTCGTCAACCCACACGTCAAAGTCAACTGCACGCCCCTCAGCATCAAACGTGAGAACAGTAGGGCTAGCCATAGTAGCAGTAGCAGCAGTAGCAGCAGTGGCAGCAGAAGCAGCAGTAGCAGCAATTGCAGCAGAAGCAGAGCAGGCAAAAGGGCAGCGCGGCTCGGCTGGGCGGCGCGGCTCGACAGAGCGGCGTGGCTCGGTGGGCGACGCGGCTCGGCTGGGCGGCGCGGCTCGGCCGGACGGCGCGGCTCGGCTGGGCGGCACGGCGCAGCAGGGGGTTGGGCACGGGGCTTACCTGGGGCGCGACAGTAGGGGCTGCGTCAGCAGAGGGGCCGCGACAGCAGAGGGGCCGCTGCAGCAGAGGGGCCGCTTCAGCAGAGGGGCCGCGACAGTAGGGGGGGGGGCGCAACTGCAGAGGCCGCGACAGCAGGGGCTGTGACGGCAGGGGCCGCGACAGCAGAGGCCGCGACAGCAGCAGCGGCCGTGACGGCAGCAGGGGCCGCAGCGGCAGACGGGGCCGCGACAGCAGCAGGGGCCACGACTGGCAGCAAGGGCCGCAACAGCAGCAGGGGCCGCAACAGCGGCAGGGGCCGCGTCGGCAGTAGGGGCCGCGACGGCAGTGAGGGGCCGCGTCGGCAGTAGGGGCCGCGACGGCAGTAATGGGCCGCGACGGCAGTAAGGGGGGGGCCGCGACTGCAGCAGGGGGCCGCGACGGCAGGAGGGGCCGTGTCGGCAGTAGGGGCCGCGTCGGCAGCAGGGGCCGCGACGGTAGTAGGGGCCGCGACAGCAGGGCAGGGGCAGGCGCGAAGCGCGCTGCAGGTAGGGCAGGAAAAAAAAATGTGACTATTTCGGTGGGCCCTAAAAAAAAACGTTCCCACAGGGGAACTTGCTCAGAATACCATATCAGAATGAACAGAAGGAATGAATGAACTAGGCAGCAGGTGGGTACAAGTATGAAAACCTAAAAGTGTTGTACCCTGTATTGACTACCCCACTACAGCCTAGATGGACTATAGCTGATATGTTTGACACATGTATGCCAACTCCCTCATGCACCCTCTCTCTTTCGTATGGAACAACAACAAGAGATTTCCGTACCACTCCGTCTCTGCACCCGTCGCTGTTGTTCCCATGATGGCAACATTAGAGAACCACGGCCTGGAGTGGGACAGCGGGGTTGCTTTCACGAAATGTGCTACACGGGAAAAACTAGCATCTTCTGCAGCAGGGTCGCAAGTGTTGTGTGAGCCTGCATCAAGTAAGAGACATGTATCAGTACAAAGTAACCTTCATTTGCATATGGCATTTGGTTGATGTCAACAATATAACAACTTACACGAACTTTCGTTGGCCTCAGCTGGCGTCGAAGCAATGCACCCGCAAAGGCATGGCGTGCCTCGCTGTGGTCCTTCGCCCACTCACGGACAAACCAGTTGGCATAGGGAGTGACATCAGCGGGGTTCACGGGGAAGAAGTAGGACTCCTTCACCATCACCCAAGCTCCATCCTCGATTGCCTGACACGGGCCAAACAACGCAGAGAATGCAACATAAAAATCAGAATCGCATCATCCAGCAGTAACTAGCAACCTATCCTCCCCTTTCCCTTGCTTCCCTACCTGCGCTGCACTCCCCCTTTTGCTGCTCCCTCCCGTGCCTGACGCTAACTCTTACCCTGCTACCCCCCTATGAACTGTCGGCAAACATTCCTTGCCCCCTAGCCCGAAGTGCCCGGCTCCCAGCACCTCCCCTCACATCACTCACCATCTCTGCACCTCCCCTCACATCACTCACCATCTCTGCACCTCCCCTCACATCACTAACCATCTCAGCACCTCCCCTCACAGAACTCACCATCTCAGCACTTCCCCTCACTGCACTCACCATCTCAGCACCTCCCCTCACAGCACTCAGCATCTCCGCACCTCCCCTCACAGCACTCACCATCTCAGCACCTCCCTAACAGCACTCACCATCTCAGCACCTCCCTCACAGAACTCACCATCTCAGCACCTCCCTCACAGCACTCACCATCTCAGCACCTCCCCTCACAGCACCTTCTGTTTTAGCAGCACATCCTTTGGCGCTCCTTACCTTTTGCATAGCCGTTTGTACGCCGTCGGTGGGCACGTTGCTGATGGAGTCTAGCTTCATCTCGTGGTGCTTCATGATCTGCGTGTCCACTTTCCGCTTATTCGATCTTCTATAGATCTGCTTCAGCAGCGTGCTATGCAGGTGTTCGAAGAGGTTGGTGCTGTACTCTTGCACATTCCCAGCTCGTCGAATTCCAGGAATGAAATGAGTCATCAAGTGTGTTTTGATGAGGTTCCACTTTGATTTCTGCTCGGGGAAGGCAGCCGTGAGGAGCTCCACGAGCCTGGAATGGTGTGGGAGCTTGATGATGAATGCAGTATAAGGAAAGGCGTGCTTGGAACCTCTATGAGAGCAGTATAAGGAGAAGCGTGCATGGAACCTCTACGAATCACATAGGCAGTGTGACGGTCTAGGGTGTTTCGTTTGTGAGGTACCTTGCTGGTTTGGCTTGTAGTTCGGTGAGACTTCTCTCCGTGTGAGTGGCGGCGTTGCAGCATAGATACCAGTCAAGATATGCTCTGATTGCCTCCAGCTGGGGCGAGCCGACAATGTCAGCCACCAAAAAAATCAACACCTGGAGGAATGCAGTACCATGTGTGGGACAACTCAGAGAGAGGCCACCACATAGAATGCTGATTGGATATTATTGTCATGACGGTGTACTGGCTGGTTTACAGTTGATCTTGGCAACGAACCAACACAGTGCTACAGCAGCATGAACTAGCCCACAAACATCCAGCCCACCAACCCAACTCCGCTCCCCTTCCTCTTCCCTCCCTGCCAAGCTCGTCCCACTCTTCCCACCTTCCCCCTTCCCCCTCTCCAAGGTATTCACCTCAAAGGATCATACCTGCATGACGGATCGGTGTTCAAAGGCTGCCACTTGTGCCCCGGTTTTAAAGTACTCGCTCTTCGGGAATCGCAGAGAGTTGATACGTGTTTTCAGGGTAAGCTTTAGAAGACGCCTGCGTACAGTAGGATCAGATTTTAGATGTGGGGGGCATAGGATCACGAAGGAATAAAGTTTAGATGCCGGACTACCATTTGGATACAGGTTAGCTTACAATTGTGTGCGTGACGTGGTAACGAGGAACCATGGTTCATCAAATAGAGGCATCGTGCATTTCCAGCCGGGCGGGGCAAGAGGCACTCACAAATCCAGAATCTTCATCATCGTTGGGTGTTGGGCGCGGATGCATCTCACGATGTGGTCCAGCATCCCCAGGTCTGCCTGGTGCATGATGTCCGCCATGACAGCAAGGAAAGGATTTCCCCACGGCGAAGAGCCAACCTGCCACTTCCATAAAGCACACTGTGCAGGTAGTACAGCAGGGAATGCGAAGGTTAGGGTGACACTTGACTGCAATTTTCCGCGAGAGGGTGCAGTGTATATGTGATGCATAGCGACTCCAGCTGGCATTCGATCAAATACTTACGTCGATGTCGAACGTCGAGTACAACTTCAGCGGATTGTCATCTGCTCCGTCAGCGACTCCAGCTGCTTCGTCTCTAACCCACTGTTGTTGTGCGGGTGTGCGAACGTTGTTGGGTAGCTCCACAGATGACAGGCTTTCCTGTGGTGGCCGGGGGTATTCATAGCACAAAGGGGATGAGCAATAAAAGCCATTGAACACGCACATACACACATATGAAACGCACACAGCCTTGTTTGCGGATGGGGCATAATTACATGCCTGGTCGACAAATCTGCGGGCTTCCACTACTCATCCACATCCTCTTCCCTCCCCATCCCAGCACCTCCCTCCCCCTCCCAGCACTCACCATCCCAGCACCACACCGTCACAGAACTCACCCTCCCAGCACTCACCTCCCAGCACTCACCCTCCCAGCACTCACCATCCCAGCACTCACCATCCCAGCACCACACCGTCGCAACACTCACCTCCCATCACAGCACCACACCGTCGCAGCACTCACCCTCCCAGCACTCACCATCCCAGCACCACACCGTCGCAGCACTCACCCTCCCAGCACTCTCCATCCCAGCACCACACCGTCGCAGCACTCACCTCCCATCCTAGCACCACACCGGCGCAGAACTCACCCTCCCAGCACACACCATCCCCGAACTCACCCTCCCAGCACTCACCCTCCCAGCACTCACCATCCCAGCACTCACCCTCCCAGCACTCACCATCCCAGAACTCACCCTCCTAGCACTCACCTCCCAGCACTCACCCTCCCAGCACTCACCATCCCAGCACTCACCCTCCCAGCACTCACCATCCCAGCACCACACCGTCACAGAACTCACCCTCCCAGCACTCACCTCCCAGCACTCACCCTCCCAGCATGATCCATCCCAGCACTCACCCTCCCAGCACTCACCCTCCCAGCATGATCCATCCCAGCACCACACCGTCGCAGAACTCACCCTCCCAGCACTCACCATCCCATCACCACAGCGTCACAGAACTCACCCTCCCAGCACTCACCGTCCCAGCACTCACCCTCCCAGCATGATCCATCCCAGCACTCACCCTCCCAGCACTCACCCTCCCAGCATGATCCATCCAAGCACCACACCGTCGCAGAACTCACCCTCCCAGCACTCACCATCCCATCACCACAGCGTCACAGAACTCACCCTCCCAACACTCACCATCCCAGCACTCACCCTCCCAACACTCACCATCCCAGCACTCACCATCCCAGCACTCACCCTCCCAGCACTCACCCTCCCAGCACTCACCCTCCCAGCACTCACCCTCCCAGAACTCACCCTCCCAGCACTCACCCTCCCAGCACTCACCCTCCCAGCACTCACCCTCCCAGCACCACACCGTCGCAGCACTCACCCTCCCAGCACTATCCATCCCAGCACCACACCGTCGCAGCACTCACCTCCCATCCTAGCACCACACCGGCGCAGAAATCACCCTCCCAGCACACACCATCCCCGAACTCACCCTCCCAGCACTCACCCTCCCAGCACTCACCATCCCAGCACTCACCCTCCCAGCACTCACCATCCCAGAACTCACCCTCCCAGCACTCACCTCCCAGCACTCACCCTCCCAGCACTCACCATCCCAGCACTCACCCTCCCAGCACTCACCATCCCAGCATGATCCAACCCAGCACTCACCCTCCCAGCACTCACCCTCCCAGCACTCACCCTCCCAGCATGATCCATCCCAGCACCACACCGACGCAGAACTCACCCTCCCAGCACTCACCATCCCATCACCACAGCGTCACAGAACTCACCCTCCCAGCACTCACCATCCCAGCACTCACCCTCCCAGCACTCACCATCCCAGCACTCACCATCCCAGCACTCACCCTCCCAGCACTCACCCTCCCAGCACTCACCCTCCCAGCACTCACCCTCCCAGCACTCACCCTCCCAGCACTCACCCTCCCAGCACTCACCAACCCAGCACTCACCCTCCCAGCACTCACCCTCCCAGCACTCACCCTCCCATCCCAGCACCTCATGATCCATAGTTACGTGTTTACATACCCTGTCGACGTAGCACAGGCTGCACGGCTTCATGCAGCCCTGGCCAGACTTAGTGCATGTCAGTTTCCCGGACTCGGGATAGTCGCAAGCCCATGCATATAGCAATGGAATGACCCATCGTTCGATGCCTTCTGAGTCCAGCAGCATGACACCACTGCACATTTTTCGGGCAGCCATGGAACATGGTGAAAACACATTCTCGTTAACAATATTCACCATTTCTAAGATCCGTACTGCTTTTCAGGGCACGACTAACCAAATAAACAAAGTTTCAACAAGTAGCTTGCAATACAAGCGTTGTATAGCTCCACCTTCAAGTGCGACGGCATATTCGAGGGTGGGATGGGTAACAGCGCCAGCAGGGAGTGCCCAGGCCGCCCCCAGTGTTTGGGGAATGCAATATTCCCCAGTGTCATCACGATCGGGTGCGCCTTCTTCCTTCCGTTGCTGCTCAAGTGCGTGACGTCACTGTACAGTATCATCGCCGCAACAATTTTGTCGATGCCAATGAAATCCTGCGCATCTCGCAGAGAATGGATAGATTGGGTGTAGGGTAAAGGTAATGTCTCTGGGCAGTACACATTGCTGACTGGAAATGCACAAACCAAGTTGAAGCCGGCAACACGCATGGTGAGAGGTAGGTGTGGAACATAGGCAAGGCGATGGGTAATTTTCAGGCAGCAATTGCCGCAAATGGCAGTTCACGAGGCGGGGAGATGCTAGGTTTCCATAGCGCAAGTGCAAACAGCCTTTATAGCCCTCACCTGAGCTTCAAGCCACCATGTGCCGGTTTCTGCAGTGGAATATGCCCGATGCCCACTCTCGCTGTCCTTGTCTCTCCTCGGTCCCATTCTGAAGCCAGGCGCATTGTGCTTGTGCCGGAACATATCCGCCAGGGCCTGCAAAAACATATACAGCACATACACCGGCCGGTTAGCAATGTAACTATGATGCGGCCAGGACTCAGGTTCACGCCAATGCCCTTCAGTTTCATCCTGGGTACCCTATGCTTCGTAAAAACACTCACCCTCAGAGGATCGCGGTGAAGCATCACTTGCGGTGGAAAGCCCTCCACATAAAATGTGGTCGAATCGAATCCACGTCCCGTGTCAGCCAGATATTCCTTCTGGAGCCTCTCCACATCCCGGTAGCTACGGACATTAGCCTCAACCAGCAGCGGGGCCAACTCTGGATGGATAATTAGCTGCAGAACTTTGTTTGTATCCATGTTCGATAAGCCCATTCTGCCATTCAGCGAATCAAGTTGCTCCAACAGGTGTATCAAAGCGGGATGGATGTCGCTGCCATCGGGGAACAAATGCCGGGCAGCGGATTCGGTTCTAGCATTATCGGGGCATGTGGTTGGGGGATGCTCCGCCCCTTGGCTGGACGACTGGGGCGATGAGGGCTGTGGGGAAAATCACTCAGGATCAAGGGTACTCTCACAGCCCACGCCACTAGACGATGTTGGCAGTGTCTCCTGAGTTGGAACTTGAGGTGCGGAACTGCCATGTCTGATGAATCGCGGGAGCGATGCAGGCACAATGTAGGCTATGTTAGGGCGCCTATGACCACTGCCTGCGCGACCCTCTGCGGAGTTGGGGTTGCAGGGTGTTTTGCCAGCTCAGTGCCTTCCAAGGGCGAGACAGTCTGAAAAATCTCGCATACAGTGTGCACAGCGTACTGGACTAGAACGATCCATTACAGCGCCACAATACTAGGTCGTTTCTTTGGCTCAGCAATATCACGGTGGCGATTATGTATGCACCGGCTACATTGAGTTGCTGGATGGAGGGAACACGTAAAAGGTAGCGGATGGACATTGTGAGGGGGGGTAACACTATGGTGCGCACTAGCTCTCTGCACAAGAGCCATGTGATTACGACGAGTCGCCGAACGGCGCGACCTGGGGGCACGATATGAGAAGCAACACATGAATCGCGAGGAGGCGGATCGGGAACCTATATAAAATTAGGGTTTGCTGGACTTTGGGATAGGGTGGGTGCGTGCAACACCTCATTCCATCTACCTCAGACCACCACTACAAACTTTCGAAAGTCGAATACAACTGCTATTCTCGTTTTAGCCACAACACTATACAACGAGCCTTGTAGGGCAAATACATACCAGACATAGGCCTAGCAAAGTGGGTCAAGTGATTAAAAAACAATGAAGATAGTTGAACAACATCAAGAAGTAATGGTCCATGGTTTGTCATGCTGGAATCTATCTACGACGGGTGATTGGAATAAATTTGTTGACCCTACCAACCACTATCTGTAGAGCACAAAAAAAACATCCCGTCAAAGGGAAATAAGATTCATAGCACCAAGAATAGCCATACAGGGATGGGATGGAAGGTTCATAGCACTAATTATAGGCACCACACAAGTAATCAGCCCTATCAAAAATGCCTAGGGCAGGAAAGCAGGCATTGTCCCACATTACAGCCGGAATCGCTGGAAAATCACCCGGTTTCAACGCAAGCTTCGAAAGACCAACCTACAGAGCTCCGCACAAGCTGATTTTGGGATGAAAGGTTCATAGCACTAAGTATAGGCACCACACAAAGAATCAGCCCTATCCAAAATGCCTAGGGCAGGAAAGCAGGCATTGTCCCACATTATAGCCGGAATCGCTGGAAAATCACCCGGTTTCAACGCAAGATTTGAAAGACCAACTTGCAGAGCTCCGCACAAGCTGATTTTGGGATGAAAGGTTCATAGCACTAAGTATAGGCACAACACAAAGAATCAGCCCTATCCAAAATGCCTAGGGCAGGAAAAAAGGCATTGTCCCACATTACAGCCGGAATCGCTGGAAAATCACCTGGTTTCAACGCAAGCTTCGAAAGACCAACCTGCAGAGCTTCGCACAAGCTGATTTTGGGATGAAAGGTTCACAGCACTAATTATAGGCACCACACAAAGAATCAGCCCTATCCAAAATGCCTAGGGCAGGAAAGCAGGCATTGTCCCACATTACAGCCGGAATCGCTGGAAAATCACCCGGTTTCAACGCAAGCTTCGAAAGACCAACCTACAGAGCTCCGCACAAGCTGATTTTAGGAAGGAAGGTTCATAGCACTAATTATAGTCACCACACAAAGAATCAGCCCTATCAAAAATGACTAGGGCAGGAAAGCAGGCATTGTCCCACATTACAGCCGGAATCGCTGGAAAATCACCCGGTTTCAACGCAAGCTTCGAAAGACCAACCTACAGAGCTCCGCACAAGCTGATTTTGGGATGAAAGGTTTATAGCACTAAGTATAGGCACCACACAAAGAATCAGCCTTATCCAAAATGCCTAGGGCAGGAAAGCAGGCATTGTCCCACATTACAGCCGGAATCGCTGGAAAATCACCCGGTTTCAACGCAAGCTTCGAAAGACCAACCTACAGAGCTCCGCACAAGCTGATTTTGGGATGGAAGGTTCATAGCACTAAATTATAGGCACCACACAAGGAATCAGCCCTATCAAAAATGCCTAGGGCAGGAAAGCAGGCATTGTCCCACATTACAGCCGGAATCCCTGGAAAATCACCCGGTTTCAACGCAAGCTTCGAAAGACCAACCTTCAGAGCTCCGCACAAGCTGATTTTGGGATGGACGGTTCATAGCACTAATTATAGGCACCACACAAAGAATCAGCCCTATCCAAAATGCCTAGGGCAGGAAAGCAGGCATTGTCCCACATTACAGCCGGAATCGCTGGAAAATCACCCAGTTTCAACGCAAGATTTGAAAGACCAACCTGCAGAGCTCCGCACAAGCTGATTTTGGGATGAAAGGTTCATAGCACTAAGTATAGGCACCACACAAAGAATCAGCCCTATAAAAAATGCCTAGGGCAGGAAAGCAGGCATTGTCCCACATTACAGCCGGAATCGCTGGAAAATCACCCGGTTTCAACGCAAGCTTCGAAAGACCAACCTACAGAGCTCCGCACAAACTGATTTTGGGATGAAAGGTTCACAGGACTAATTATAGGCACCACACAAAGAATCAGCCCTACCCAAAATGCCTAGGGCAGGAAAGCAGGCATTGTCCCACATTACAGCCGGAATCGCTGGAAAATCACCCGGTTTCAACGCAAGCTTCGAAAGACCAACCTGCAGAGCTCCGCACAAGCTGATTTTGGGATGAAAGGTTCATAAGTATAGGCACCACACAAAGAATCAGCCCTATCCAAAATGCCTAGGGCAGGAAAGCAGGCATTGTCCCACATTACAGCCGGAATCGCTGGAAAATCACCCGGTTTCAACGCAAGCTTCGAAAGACCAACCTACAGAGCTCCGCACAAGCTGATTCTGGGATGGAAAGTTCATAGCACTAATTATAGGAACCACACAAGTAATCAGCCTTATAAAAAATGCTTAGGGCAGGAAAGCAGGCAATATCCCACATTACAGCCGGAATCGCTGGAAAATCACCCGGTTTCAACGCAAGCTTCGAAAGACCAACCTACAGAGCTCCGCACAAGCTGATTTTGGGATGAAAGGTTCATAGCACTAATAATAGGCACCACACAAAGAATCAGCCCTATCCAAAATGCCTAGGGCAGGAAAGCAGGCATTGTCCCACATTACAGCCGGAATCGCTGGAAAATCACCCAGTTTCAACGCAAGCTTCGAAAGACCAACCTGCAGAGCTCCGCACAAGCTGATTTTGGGATGAAAGGTTCATAGCACTAAGTATAGGCACCACACAAAGAATCAGCCCTATCCAAAATGCCTAGGGCAGGAAAGCAGGCATTGTCCCACATTACAGCCGGAATCGCTGGAAAATCACCCGGTTTCAACGCAAGCTTCGAAAGACCAACCTACAGAGCTCCGCACAAGCTGATTTTGGGATGGAAGGTTCATAGCACTAAATTATAGGCACCACACAAGGAATCAGCCCTATCAAAAATGCCTAGGGCAGGAAAGCAGGCATTGTCCCACATTACAGCCGGAATCGCTGGAAAATCACCC